CTTTGTATTTTAAGATTTTTTGTAGGCTCATGAACTGAATTGTTTTGTGAAATTTGGCTTAAAACTTTAGTTACGTATAAAAGTGTAAAATTTTAAGTCAGTTGAGTACAGTTATTTTTACAGTCGGTGGTTAAATCATTTTAAATTTACTGATCTTCTAATGTACCTCATTAACACGTTTTAATAACTGTGTTTCTAAGCCCGTTTTTCATGGCTTAATTTTAAGGAACATTTTACCTGAGAGTTAAGTGGGCGAGGAGTCTGGGAATCGTATTTCGATTAGTGTGTGAAACAAATTAAAATGTTGTAGTTTTTATGAAAAATATTTTTATTTAGGCCTACGAAAAACTTAACATTATTTGGATTTTTAGTAGTATTTCGAAATACATATTAACAAATAACTTAAATAAAGAATTAATAAAATAAAATCGAATAACAAAAAACAGGACCACAAATCGAATTTTTATAACAACTCTAATTTAGGTGGAATATTTTTCCAAGCACACTAAACACTGTTAATGTGTAAAATTTTATTCAACATTAGATGTGAAAAGGTCAAATACATTTGTGTTTGTGAAAAACCTATAATTTTCAAAACTGCATGTTTTTTTTTGTTTTTTTTTTTAAATGCATCGACGTTGATTTTTTCTACACATTTTCTTATCCCTCGAGTTTATAGGCCTTGTGATATTTGAAGTTCTAATGCCCAATGAGCAGTTATTTTCGATGCTAACCCTAATATTAGGATAGTCTATTGTTAATCTTATTCTCTTCAGGCCTTGAAGGGTCTATTGATTACTTTTGACCGCAGGGCAGAGGACATTTATAATCAAGGACTAAAGAGAGATTCAATATATTTATTTCTTCCCATAAAGAACTAGTTTGTTTGTTTTTTTGTAGTTTTTTTTTAGTGGACATGTGGTGAGTTCAGGAAATCTCGGAGTAAAAAACGTATCATTACAGGAAGAGAGGGTGTGTTATTTCTAGAGGGTATGGCAGTTTTGATAAGTGATGGACGTTCAGGATGACCTTCATCTCCATCAGATAAATAGATAAACTGTACGGCCGTTATTCAGTGAGATTATTCCTTTGTAACTGTCCTATGTGATCAGAAATGTTTAATTTCAAGAAAGAGTAACAGTTGCGATTGAAGTTGTGACATCCAATACTCATCGTACCATATTGGTAATTTGACTTTATAACAAGGTTCCTCTTGCGACTGTAGTGCGCTGGTACTTATCTTGTAGGAATAAAATGAAGCCATGCGCAAGTGATTTTTCGATAACAAACATTTTATAAGTCAAAAGAAATTGAACGATATTTCTGTTGTTTTTTATGACCTTTCATCAACTATGCTGCCAACGACCGTTTGTATATGTTGCCGTTTTAGTATCGAAAACATTACAACTATTGCTTCAACAGCTATCAGCAAGCATTTTTATCAACCCTTGATTAGCAAACGCTATCAATAGACGCTTGCTTCAACTGTTGTTTAATCACTTGTTATCAAATACCATGTTGCTTCTTCGTAAGTTTATTAACTGTTGCCTCACGATATAATATATTAATCTACGTTATAAACCTTTTTTTAAATTGATCCTTTATCGTATAGGTTGCACATTTCCACACACTGCTCTTTTATGAATTAGATTAATAATAATTTTTCGTCAACTAAATAATTAGCCATCTTCCTCACAATCTGTAAAAATGTTTGTTTAAAGACCTCTCATGTAAAGTGTTACTATTATAGTCCCATTAGGAACTGCTGCTGTTTAAAGGCCCATTATGTAAAATGTTTGTTTAAAGACCTCTCATGTAAAGTGTTACTATTATAGTCCCATTAGGAACTGCTGCTGTTTAAAGGCCCATTATGTAAAATGTTTGTTTAAAGACCTCTGCAGTTCCTAATGGGACTATAATAGTAACACTTTACATGTGCTGTTTAAAGGCCCATTATGTAAAATGTTTGTTTAAAGACCTCTCATGTAAAGTGTCACTATTATAGTCCCATTAGGAACTGCTACTGTTTAAAGGCCCATTATGTAAAATGTTTCCATTATAGTCCTGCTGCTGCTGTTTAAAAGTAAAGTGTCCTCATTAGGAACTGTTGCCGAAATAGGTAAATTGTGAAAACAAAAATATTGTTTTCGCGAGCTCTTGCCTATTGTTAGACATTTCACACACTACATTATCAGTTGTTGTTACTGTGAAATATTGCCTCATTAGGTAAGGTGTCATAAAAAGTTATTGTTTTACCAATTCTTGTCCCATTGTCAGGTATTTCACACCCCATATCATTAGTTGTCGTTCTTTTGAAATATCGTACCATTAAATAAGCTGTCAAAAAGACATTGTTTTCTTTAACTCTTGTCCGGTTGTCAGGTGTTTCACATTCTATCTGACATTCATTGTTCGAGTGAAATATTGTTCCATTACGCTTACTTTTTACCGTGATCGTAGAGTACTTTTTAAATACTCTTTTATTATATGACTTGTTAACTAGCATTATTATTGTTATATACTTTCATAAGCGAACAACCCTGGCATAAAAATATCGCATAACACTAAACGTAAAATGAGGTTTCAGCATAAGCTGCGATTTCTTGTATATTTCAAGGGCTTCAAGTTATATGTGTACTTATACAGGCGTAAGGAAATGTATAAATAGAAAACAATAACATTGTTTTATTCACTACGTAACCTGTCGGTTTTCATGTTAGATACACTGAGCGATGACCCTCCTTTCTACAATGCACCTTTCTGGCTTTACGTTAACATACAGGTACGAGTGGTTTATAGTATTGAATCTCGCTTACGGAAGTTATAGACCAAGATTTTTCCCTGAGTTCGAATATTCCATTAATCAAAATCAAACTGGAGATCTAATTTACAAGTGGATCTTATGAAAAGTTGGTTCTAAAAACTACGATACACAGACTCCAAATGATTGAAATATCTTGGTTTGTCACTGGCAGCCAGATTAAAAACGATACGTTAAGTTTCCAGACTTTGACTAAGACAGATTAAGGTTGGGACTGTGTAAATACTACCTGGAAGTGCTGTGTACGAGAGTATTTGAAACATGACTAAGATAGATAGTTGATGGTCACATTCCACTCTTTGCCTCTCAGCCATTAAGCTCAGGGACATTTGAACCACTTGATAGAATTTCCAGAACAAAAAAGTGAAATATCTTCAGAAAATATTGTGTCGCTCGAGCTGGAATATCTTGTAAGTTTCCTCCTACCAGAGAGGCGATGAGAAACTTGAATAATGAAGCACTGTAGTTTACCAGTGGTGCATTTCCAACCAACGATGACATGGTGATAGATTACTAAGTTTCAGAAGTCACTGTCATGTGAGAGAAACCTTATGTTGTCTTCTCTGTAATCAATTAGTCAACCTTTGCTTGCTCAGAATAACATACAAGTTCAACAATTCGCCTGCTGATGGCACAAGTCAACAAAAATCTTTCTTTAGTGTCTCATCAGATCAAGTTTGTAAACTTCGAGAACTCCAAAAGACAAGACAGAAGATTACAAACCCAACTTAGCAAGCCCTTGTCACGGTGGGTGCTTCTGGCTGGCTCCTTTTGGTCAGCAGTTCCAAATTATAAACGGCTATACTTGACTCGTAGAGAGGGCTCTGACTTGGCCGTTTAGCGCACATGTACGTAAGTTGCCGTTCAGATTTAAAATTACAATTACTCGTATGAGGGAGAAATATTAGCATCCATAAAAACTTATTTGTTTTGAAATCTGATATCATAAGTCGGAAAAATAAACCAAAGAATCGGATAAAATCAAATAGTGCAAATAAAAATGAGAACGTTTTAAAGTTATACCAACTAAAAAAAAAAGGTATAATTTTGAAGAATATATCCATCTGAATAACTCCCAAAAAAGCATTGGAAACGTACCGTCTCTCCAGGTATGCTCCTAATTGTAGGGAAATAAAGACGCAAAAACATGTAGGCGAAGAGCGGAATATCACAATCAAATAAAGGAATAAGGCTCAAGTGCGAAACGCTCTGATCTCCTTTATCATTCACTTAATATACATATCTCGTTCACTGAATGATAGGAAATAATAAAATAATTAAATTTCTAAATATATCGTCGCTATTCGTCATTATTATTTTGTATTAAAATATGTGATTTACACAATGTGAGTAATCAATCATTAGGAGCTTTTGTTGATGTATGTAATTTTTTGATTTTAAAAATGTGATTTTTCAGGTCACATTTAGTGCAATTAGTTCACACAGCCACGCTACTACTAGAGCTACAATAAATTAACAGAAAATTTTAGATGGAAAAATATTATTTCAAATTATATTTTTCTTAAGTTGAAAACATTTTATATTCTATACTGTTGTTGGTAATCATTTTTAGAACAGAATGACTAAAAACAAACTTCTCTAATCTATATCAGACATGGTAATTAAAGTTAACAAACTTCTCTGATCTATATCAAACATGGTAATTAAAGTTAACAAACTTCTCTGATCTATATCAAACATGGTAATTAAAGTTAACAAACTTCTCTGATCTATATCACACATGGTAATTAAAGTTAACAAACTTCTCTGATCTATATCACACATGGTAATTAAAGTTAACAAACTTCTCTAATCTATATCAAGCATGGTAATTAAAGTTAATAAACTTCTCTGATCTATATCAGACATGGTAATTAAAGTTAACAAACTTCTCTAATCTATATCAAATTCTCTAATCTATATCAAACATGGTAATTAAAGTTAACAAACTTCTCTGATCTATATCAAACATGGTAATTAAAGTTAACAAACTTCTCTGATCTATATCAAACATGGTAATTAAAGTTAAAAAAAGAAAATAAAAATATCATCACTGTGAAAAATTTTGTTTATAGAATATTAGAATAACGAATGAAAATAAAACCTTGTAAGTAATAAGTATGATTATATTACATTAGTTTCTGTGCTTGACGAATATTTTGCTTTTCTCTTGTCTTAGATCCAGTGTCCTCTTTGGAAGTTTGTCAATCAGTTCACCAGAGGGCTATGCGTGCCCAAGACCTAGAATTTGAAAATAAAAGATTGAAAGAGACACTTGACGATTACTACCAAGAGCTGGAGGTTCTAAAGAATCAAGGTGGGCCTTTGCTTAGTTTGGTAATAGTATTAAAATAAAATGATGAACAAAACTAAAGCGAGATGAAGATGAACTTGCAAGTGATATGTTTTCGATGACGTATTATTCATATCAAAATAAGATAAATGATTTTATGAGAACACATTATATAGAGTATACCATCAGAGAACTAAGACAACTGTTTCTTTACCTTTTGTGACGTACCAAGTAAGTTATAATGTGTAACTTTAGATATTACGAACCCAGAACATGCATGATGTGTAACGTTAGGTATTACGAACCCAGAACATGCATTATGTGTAACGTTAGTTATTACGAACCCAGAACATGCATGATGTGTAACGTTAGGTATTACGAACCCAGAACATGCATTATGTGTAACTTTAGGTATTACGAACTCAGAACATGCATGATGTGTAACGTTAGTTATTACGAACCCAGAACATGTATGATGTGTAACGTTAGTTATTACGAACCCAAAACATGTATGATGTGTAACATTAGTTATTAGGAACCCAAAACATGTATGATGTGTAACGTTAGTTATTAAGAACCCAAAACATGTATGATGTGTAACATTAGTTATTAGGAACCCAAAACATGTATGATGTGTAACGTTAGTTATTACGAACCCAAAACATGTATGATGTGTAACATTAGGTATTACGAACCCAAAACATGTATGATGTGTAACATTAGTTATTAGGAACCCAAAACATGTATGATGTGTAACGTTAGTTATTAAGAACCCAAAACATGTATGATGTGTAACATTAGTTATTAAGAACCCAAAACATGCAGGATGTGTAACGTTAGTTATTACGAACCCAGAACATGCATGATGTGTAACTTTTGAGTTGAGTCTATTATTCCGAGCGTTTAGTTAGAAAATCTTTGATATCTGAACACAATGCACTTTTAGTAAAAAAAAAAAACGGTGTAGTTTTAATAGTGATTATTGTGTGAAATTCTTTATATCATAAATGCCTGTTTTCGCGGGAAAGTAAGTCGTAGCTCTGCATATAAGTGTTTATGTAGTATCTGAAGAACCAGTGAGAAGTAAGAAGGGAAATATTGTGTAAAGCTTTAGAATGAAGCCTCAAGATAGTTGTTTTCTTCTTAATGAGATATAACAGGATACTCCTGCTCTTCAAGTTTGCCTTCAGTCACTATTTGTTTAGTTTTGTACTTTAATTGAAACTATCATAACATACTTTCCCTTCGCTACGGAATTCAAGCCATACACACGTGATTTACAGATCCTATACTGATCGAGCTCCTTCATTATCCCTAATTATTTCTTATCCTACCCCAAAAGGGTTCGAACCAGAAAAAAAAAAATCTGTTATGGCACCCACCTGAAAGGGGGTAAGGAACACAAACTCCGATGCCAGATTCGGGTTCAGCAACCCTGAAAAACGTATTCTTAGACCCATCATGCCTGTATGACCTTTTGGGCGCGTTTTAGAGATTTAGAGAGTGTCCAACTTATGCAACTGCATGGGGCCTCGAGTCCCAAAGAAGGGCCCTCAATTTTGCATCATCCTAATTAGGGGACCTCCAGTATCATAGTATTACATGAGAGTCTCAAAGGGTCTAAATCTGACCCTGCTGCAGGCCACCCAGAGTCCGCCTAACAAGGTTGGTCCAAATTTCTGGGTCGAGTTCACGAACAAACAAACAAGCAATTATATTCACACACATAACGTGCGTTGAGTTAGGATATTTATAGCTATAATAGCTATATTTCTCCAATAGTTTCGTGGCATCAGAGTTTTACTCACCAATCTTTTTTAGTGTTTGATGAATTTGGTGTCAACGGAGTTTGCAAATAAATCGCTAGTACTTGTGAGTGAAATTACATCCTTGTCAATAAATTACCCCTTGAAAATGCACAGAAAACAACCGCGAAAAAAACAAGTGCTCACGTTGTTTTGAACGACCATTTACACCATTGGTTTGTTAATTTTACAGTAAATCCGTGCAGCCAATCCTGAGAGCCCCCAAGTTGCCTTGATCCTACATGAAAAAGCCCCACTATGAAAATTCTGAAAATCGAAATATCGATACTTATTTTGGATGAGTCAGACGTGATCTAGTGGTTAGTTTGAATTCCTGCCCCCAGTGGCAAAGCGGTATGTCTGCAGAGTTACAACGTTAGAAACCGGGTTTCGATACCCGTGGTGGGCAGAGCACAGATAGCCCATTGTGTAGCTTTGTACTTAATTTCAAACAAATAAACAAACAAAAGTTTGAATTCCAAGGTTTGCTTCCCGTTGTTCCATTGAAGCCATGGGTGCGTTATAGGAGTAACGGTCGAATCTCACTATTCGATTAAAGTATTCCAAGAGTTGGCGGTGAATGCTGTTGACTAGCTACCTTCCCTCTAATTTGTCATTTCAAATTCATAGATGGCTAGCCCTCCTGTAGCTTTGTATGAATATCCGAATCAAACAAACAAATTTAATTTAAACAGTCCCTTCCTTACGTGTACACAGACTCTCTCAGAGGTTCAGAGAGGCCCGGGCCACTTCTATCTTTAAAAGGCCCTGGCTATAATAAACATAAAAAATGATGATACATTAAAACAAAATAAGAGAAGTGAAACATAATTTAAATATTTCGTATTTAACATATGTTCATCAACATTACTTAACACTTAATAAGTATTTTTCTAGCCTTTTGCTTTGCATAAAACAAGTCGCGAAACTTAACAAATGCAAAATAAAAAATAACAAGTGTCTAAATTTGAGGCCCTCTTTGATCTTGAGGCCCAGGCCAAATGGCCCTCCTGCTCCCCTCTCCCAAGTGGCCCTACGTGTATACATGCCAGATTTCGCGTTAGTCGCTCTTTAAAACCCAGGGGATGGG